TGCTGGGGGAGGGCGAGGGCGGCCCTGGGCCGGGCAGCGGGGCGCGTCGTGCCGGCCGCGTTACGGCCGCTCCGGGCGCCGCGGAGGCCCGCGGGCGGGCGCGGCTCGGCCCGGAGCCGCGAGGGAGGCGGCGGCCGGTGCGGGGCGGCGGGGGGGGAGGCTCCGGAGCGGAGGGCCGCGGCGGCTCCTGGGCGGCTCCTCCCGGCCGGCCCCGGGGCGGGGAGCGGGGCCCGCGCCCGGTCCGGAGCTGCCGACGGGCTCCGAAGGGATCGGTGCGTGCGCGGCGCAGGGAGGCCGCTCCGTCTTCCGAAGGGCGAGGCGCCCGAAGGAGAAGCGCGGCGGCCGAGGGCTGAGCCCTCCGCGTCCCTGCCGGGCGTCGCGGCCTGCGCGCGGCCGCGCCTCACGGCTGCCCCGGCATCGCGGCTGGAGGGGCGCCCGGCAACGCGGGGATCCCGCTGTGCGCCCTGCGCGGGGCGTGCCGCAGGGAAACGCGGCTGTCCGTGTTCGCACTGACATCACCTCGCGTGCCTTCACGTGTCACCGAGGCGTACGGCGTCCCAAGAGGCTTTATCCATACCTGTGCCAAAGCGCTGCGCTGTATTTGACCAATAATGACATTATTACTTTCGTTCTTCAGCTGTCTAAACAGGTGTGACCTGACAGCTTCCTCTCAGGGACAGTCCCAGAGGTCGCAGCCTGCCGTGCTTCTTTAACCTCTGCTCACGATTTGTGTACGCGGCAGAGCGCTGTGACGGCGGAAGAAATCCGCCTCAGACACCGCGCTGCAGCCCTGCGTGTGTGCTGACTCCGGTGCCCTTGTTTTATTGCAGTATTACATCTCAGCTGCGTTTTGTTTTACAATCCCCTCATCTGAAAATGTGGGAATGGGGTGCACGTCTCATGAAATAGGCCTATAGGTTCCTACAGGATTTTTTTTTGGGGGGGGGTCATGTTTTCTCCTGTTATTATTATTTTTTTTTTTCCTACCAATTCTGAAGTGAGAAAGCAAAGACATTCCTCTACATCAATTTTCCTAAACCCATAGGCACTTCTTAAGTTAATCCAATCAACTTAAGTCTCACGGGTAATAGGTTTTCACAAATACTTACTGCCAGGTAACCTCACGTTTCACAATCGTGCGTTTCGGTGGATTTTCCTTGCTGAGACGACATGAGTTTTATGTGGAGGATTAATTTGTGCGGCCGTATTAATAGTTTAATGCCTTCACCACCCGTTCTGGGGAAATGCTGAATCACATGTATGGCACAGCAGGTGGGACCCATCCAACCCTATCTAGACCTCTGTCATGGAGAAGTCTATATCTAATATAGGCTTCCTTCATACACAGGAAAGAATTAAGCATCTTTAGCGCATGAGTCATGTCATCCTAAAGTGGACGCCTCAAATAGGCCAGATGATTTGTGCCCTAAAATTGCTCCCATTTCTCTGCATTAAAGAACAAGTTATCTAGATGTCTCCATTTTTGCAGATTGAGGTGATGTGAGATGAATTATGCTCTTATCACATTTATGTTTATACCACGCTTCCAAAATACCTTAAGAATTCCAGTTTGTAAACAAATCTGAAAATAACATTAATTTCTGTACTATTTTCTATTTATGCAAAGGCAGCTTTTTACAGTTTGCTGACTCAAGGCATTTTAGTAACATTGGCAAATGCCATCTGTCTCACTGAAAGTTGTAGAACCTCTCATTTACTTGTAGAAATCTTCCAATTCTTCGTCTGCAGGACTGGGAAATAAGCAGGTTGGTTGTATTGTAGGTTCAGAATACTTCACCATACTTCTGGTGAAATTGTGCACTGTATGGAAAACAAAACAAAACAAATTCTTATGGCAGTCTGATTTTTTTTAAATGACATTCACTATTTGTTATGTGACGATTTCTTATTAATCTCAGTGGTTTTGCAGAGTACAGGTGAAATAGTTAAGAAAAAAGAAGTCACGATGCCTAAAGCTTGCCAGAGGTGTCACATCAGCACAGTGTGTGTGAGAACATGTGCCAGGAACTACTTAAGAAATGCAGGATCCTTCTGACCAGCTCTGCTAGCTGGGCTAAAATCCTGCACAAAGCTGATGAGGAAGCTCAAGATGAGTCACTGTGGCGGATGCAGTCTTTAATTCCAGGAGGGTATAAGGGAAGTGGGTGTGAATCTCTAGTTGAGGGGAGCTGGGGATGCCTCTGTGTCTTGGGGATAAAAGTGTAGGTTTTTAATACAGCCTGAGCTATCAGTGAAGCCATACTTCTGTAAGGGGAAAGTTTGACATTACACATCACACATAGATTTTATGTGAAGCGGGGTTGGAACACCACCTACTCACAGATGGGTATAATTTTGGGGATGTCCTGCATAATTCATGTGTGGCTTTGATACTTATGAGTAATTCAGACATCAAAGCCTCAACTTAGATAACACTTTTATAACACTAAACTTCCTAGAGCCAATAATATGTGGGCTTTCTTTTAAGTTCCCTAAAAAAAAAAAAAAAAAAAGAAAAGAAAAAACGATGCCAGTACCTCTTTCTTACCTTCAGATATTTTTCATGAGGTATGCTGGCCTAAAGTACAAGATAGAAAATAATGAAACCTGGCCTAGAGAACAAATAAAATAAAATTCTCTCTCTTCCTTTTCTCTGGGACTATGACTGTAAATTTTAAGGCATTGGAAGAAGCTCAGCTGTTCCCAGAAGGAGCAGCACTGCAGATCCCAGGCCGCTCTGAGATACTCATTTTTTCTCTGTCAGTGGCACAAGCCTTCACTCCTCAGCAGCCCAATTTCCTAACAAGCAATTTTATATTCTCTTCCAAGTTACACATTATGCATAGAAAAAGCTTCCCATTAATAACCATAAAGCTGCTTTATTGTTCTCCTTCAAATCTCCTTAAAACTTCCTTCTGCCTCACAACTCTTGCCATTGGCCGAGCCTGTTGCTTTTTATTCTCAACGCTGCTTTTCCCTTATCCTTCCCCCATGTGTCTGTGGTATACACCTGTTGTCTTTCATCATGGGTTAAGATCATAAGCTCTTTGGGCATAGACCATCTCTCTGATTACATGTGTCTACAGTATCCAGCACAATGGGACTGTGATCCCCGAGCGGGGCCTCCGGGTGCTGCCGTGATCAAGTTGATAAAGAGTAATGATTTTTGACATGGCGAGTTCTGCAGTTTTTCCCAAGTCATTCTGCAGTTGTTCACACTGATACACCCATTGTGTGTGCGAGGAGTGTCCTTAAACCTGATATATATGGCAAATGCCATGGAACATGACCGGAGACGTCCCTGCTTTGGGGTGGGGGTGCTGCTTGGCTCTTGCATGAGCTGACACAGAGCTGCTGCTCCTGGTAGGCTTGTGCAGGATGGGCAGGATGGGACCCTGCCCTGAGCCTTCTGAATTCCATCTTTCAGATGGAAATATGGACCAATGGAAGTAGCTGAAAGGGTTGGAGCACCTCCTCTCCCTGCACATCCTTGGGGGTTTAGGACTCAGCCTTCCCCATAGACATGGAAACTGGGAATCTCCTTCTTTTCTCCCAAGTGTTAAGTTGGGGTGACAAGGAATGCAGTGAGGCTGCTGTCTCGGTGGTGGGGAAGCCTGGGAGAACTGTTCCAACCCAGTAGGGAGACATGCACAGAGTCGAACCATTTTTAAATACCCCCTTTGTGAAATTCTCCTTTCCCAGGGCTCTGTTTCCATCCTTCACCAAAGTACCTTCCTGTGCCCTGCCACCTCTGGGGTGCACATCATCACTGGCACTGTGCAATCACTCCCATGGTACTGCATTTCTTTCTTTCTTTTTTTTTCTTCCCTCTCTCTCCCTTGCAAAAATAAAATAAAATAGATAGATAGATAAATAAATAAATAAATAAAAAGAGCCTGTCTTCAGGTTTTGCGTTTAATTCCAAATAGCCTCTGCTGAGCCTGGTCCTCGAGCTCTTCCAGAAGGAGAGAGACCCTTCTGTCCCTTTGCTAATTAATGCAGCTATATCGGAGCGCGGCGAAACAACAATAACATCCATCATCGACATCACAGAAGAAACATAAATCCTCTCCCCCCCCCTCCCTCCTCCCCTCACCCCGCTTCCAGTGGCTCTCTCCTGGCGGTTTTAAATAACTTCTGCATGCGGGAGGAGAACACTGTTGGCGCCGCGGGGTGCCCCGAGCGCTGCGGGCGGCGGGGGCCTGAAGCTTCGGGGCACCCTGCGGCGACACGGAGCATCCCCGAAAATCAGCGCGGGGCACTGCGGGGAGGGCTTCGGGATCGTGGGGGGAGGGGAAACCATGTGGAGAGGCACTGAACCACGCCTCCTTCCCCCTCCCCCCCTTCCCCCCCCAAAAAAAGAAAATGATATAAAATTTATCCCAAACTTCCCATTGGCAGTGCCAATTTGAGTTTGCGCCCCACTTGGGTGTAAATATGGGGAGGGGTCGTGGGGGATGCTGAGTGGTTCCCGAAGCACAGCCCACAGGAAAAGAAAAATAATTCTCGCGGTGGTTTCTTTGTGGTCGGTGCCCCCCCGCCCGCGCTGCCGCAGAGCAGTAAGCGCTGTGCCCGGCGCTGGAAGCGGTTCTGTATTGCAGCAGGTAGGGCTGAGCGCTAGGACCTCGCAGAATCCTTCCAGCAGCACTCAGGACTACCTTAAACCCAGCCCAATGCCTCTTCCTGCGCCACTCTGCGTGCTGGATGGAGATCCACAGTCAAGAGCCGCAGCTCAGTGCTGGAGTACAACATTGCCCAGGGAGCCCTGCAGGAGCAACACCTGTTCCGAGCCAGCCAAGAGAGACACCAGCACTTGTATGGTGCTGCTTTGCTTGTGGATCGGCAATACCCCCAAACCAGTGGACATCTGCTGAGCCTCCTGAGAATTCTGGATAATAGAATTGGACGTCAAAAGTTTTTTTTTTTTTTTTTTTTTTTTTTTTTTTTTTTTTTTTTTTTTTTTCTTTTCTTTTTTTTTTTTTTTTTGGATTTATCTCAGCCAACACCGTGAGATCCCCCCCTCCCCCTTTGCGGGATTCATGCTGATGTATGCAGTCTGTTATAGAGTAAAAACAGCGCATGCCTTTCTGGAGTCAGAATCCATAAATCCTGACGTAGCCTGTGCATCTTAAAAAAACCCCTCTACCGCCTAGGTATTTAAGTTGCTATGGTCATTCTATTCTTAAACCAAATGGAGAAACTACGGATTTTTTTCTTTATTACGGTTGGATGGGCTGAAGACCTTATTGCTTGCTAAGAGCTGGGGATATATGCGTTTCTATAGATATACACATCTATATGTTTATAAATATGTCAGTGTGTGAGTATAAAGTGGTGGTTTCTTAGACTAACTGGTTTGACCTTGAACCTGTACCAGTCAAAGCAGAATATTACTTTTATTTATGCGTTTAATGGATTGAAGAAAGAACATTCTCTCTGTAACCGCGCTAGGGAGGGGAGAGGAGTGGAATATACCTATCTTATATCTCCTGGGTTTGGCACCATCATTACTGTTTATTCTTATTCTCTAAAAGCAGAATCTTCTGATGGCTCCCTTAGGTGAAGTTGGGAACTATTTCGGTGTGCAGGACGCGGTGCCCTTTGGGAACGTGCCCGCGCTGCCGGCGGACAGCCCGGTTTTGCTCAGTGACCACCTGGGCCAGGCTGAGGCAGGTGGGCTGCCCAGGGGCCCCGCGGTCACGGACTTGGACCATTTAAAGGGGATCCTCAGGCGGAGGCAGCTCTACTGCAGGACTGGATTTCATTTAGAAATCTTCCCCAATGGTACTATCCAGGGCACCAGGCAAGACCACAGCCGATTCGGTAGGTACTCTCCTTAACCCTTGAGGGGTCATGTGATGGAATAACGCGCTGGGACCGCGGGCGGGGGGGTGGGCGGCGGGCAGAGGGGCCGCGGCGCTGCCCGGGGGCGAACGGAGAGCTGCGGGGTGCGGCGGATGCGGGGCCGGACCGAGCTGGGGGCCGAGCTCCGCTCCGATCCACGCGGGGAGGAAATTTCGCTCGGGACGTCTCACCGGTGCGCCGCGATTTCGCGAGTTTAAAGGGGCTTTAATCATTAACCGCTCCGATTTAAAACGCACCGAGTTTCCCGAAGGGAGTGGCTGCCGTCCCGTACGCAAATGCACGAGGGTTTTCCTCTTTCGGTTCCCTCCCGGTTACCTGCCCGGGCCGCGGCCCCCCCGCTCGGTGCGGGGCTCTCCCGGCGAAGCGTGCGCCCCTCCCGCGGCGATCCCGCAGCGCTCCGCGGCTCTCGGTCTCTCTGAGGCTTCGGCGGAGGGCTCCGCACTCTGCCCGCACCCCGGAGCCCGGAGGAGGGGGGGGGGAGAAGTGAGCTGCCTTGGGGCCGGGGACAGAACGCACCGAAGCGCCTCGGAGCGCCCGGGGGAGCCGGGGCTGTGTGTTACGGAGGGGTGAGGGGAATGCACCAGGCTGTAAGGCGCGGCGCTCCGCGCTGCGGGAAGGAGTTAACTCGGGAGCGACCCAACCTGACAGCGCGCACTCGGTCGTAAAAACAAAGTCCCGTGGTGAAGGCTTTTTTTTTTTCCTGCTGATTTTTTTTTTTTTCCTCCTCTCATGTTTTAATGCCAGATGTTGAGCGGTATCTAAACTGCGTTTTACGGCTTTGTGAACCGTGTAGGCGATCGCGGTGTTGCGGGAGGGAATCCCCGCAGGACGCGGAGGGGCTCTGCGCCCATCGCCGCCGCCCCGCGCACCGTGGGGAGCGGAGCGGAGAGAAAGTGCGCAAAGTGTCCGCGCGGTGCGGAGAGGCGGCGGCACGGCGCGGGGAATGGAGGAATTTCGCACCCACGGTGCTTTTTTTTCCTGACACACGGAGACTCAGCCGCACCGCACACGCACACCCGCGCGGGTTTCCCTGCGCGCACACCGCGTAGCGCAGCGCGGGGCCGAGCCCGGCAGGTGGAGAGCAGCGCGGCGGCACCGCGGGGCACCTTGGTGGGGGGGAGGGGGGAGTATAGCTGCCGGCTGCTGCCTGCGGGGCGGGGGCGCGTTTTGCGGGACCCTGCCTTTAAAAATGGCTTGGCGGCCGCTGCTGGGGGGCTCCGGGGGCAGCTCTACTGCACCCCAGGCATTACGTAGATTTTTTTTTTTTTAATGATAACATTATTTGTCCCCATCGATGTGGTTCCTCAGACTACGCCGCGGCACCGACTCTCGGTTCTCCCCTCTCGGTGCCCCCCAGCGCGCACTGGCGCTCCGCGCTGCTCTGCGTGCGGGGACGGGAGCGGCGGTGCCGTACCGCTGCCGTACCGGTGTCGCGGCGCTGCCTCTGTGTCCGCCCGGAGGTGACCCGAGCGGCGGTCGCTATTCGGGTTTTGGGGTGGTGATGTCCGGGGGCTGCCCAGGGGGAGATGAGAACTCGGAACCTCGGAGCGTGTGAGGGAAACCTGCGTGAACGGGGGATTCTGGTGAGGGGGAGGAAGTTTTCCTTCAAGAATAAGGACAAAGAGAACCCCGGGGGCTGCGCAAACTCTTCTCGGGGATCTGTGCGGTGGGAATCCCCCTCCCCGCTCGCGCGCACACACACACCCCTCTGGAGAGACATCAGATAAGAGCAATTCTTTTGTGATGCGATGTTGGATGCGTGCCTGTGGCATACAATAAGCCGAGCCATGTTGTGTGTCTCTACTCGCCCGGCTCCGGCAGCCCGGCGTTTCGCAATGCCCGCAGCAGCAGCGGCAGCAGCACTCGAAGATGTCCATCTCGGAGGGAAAAGCTCCCCGGGAGGGCACGGCCCGGTTCCCCCCGGAATGCAGTTGTGGGTGATCAAAGCCGTATTATCTCGTCTGGGTGACAAAAGGATTTTTTTTTTTTTTTTTTTTTTTTTTTGATGCAGTCTCCTTTCGTCTAGAGCATTTGCCACACAGTGGAGTCATTGTAAATTCAGGAACTCTGTAAGAGCGGAGAGGCGTGCCCCTGTGCGTCAGCACAAGGACTGCATGCACAGCATTAAAAAAAAAAATAGGAGCGTGCAGGAAAAGGGGGGGGGGGGGAACTGTCAGCAGGTGAAATCCGCTCCCTGGTACCTGCTGTGCTGTGCTGCCGTGCTGCGGCCGCAGGGAACCGAGGCGTTCAGCGGCTGCGGGCGCGGCTGTGGCCGGGGGGTGCATCTCCGCCCTAGGGTGCTATTGGGGGCGGGGGGCGCGGATCGGGGCTGCAGCCTTCTCCGAGCGTTGGGTGCGGGGCAGGGATGAGTACAGCAGGGCTGAGCCCTCTGGGACTGGGGAAATGGGGCGGGTTTGTGGGGGGTGGGTTTATGGGGGGTGAGTTCGAAGGGGGTGGGTTTACAGGCGAGAGGAGCAGCCCTCACCCACCCTCTGGTCCATCCCCTGGGGAGGGTCTGCGCGGCTCTCCCGAAGTGCCCCCATAAGAGGGTGCGGGGACGATGCACGCTGGGACAGCCTAGAAGTGAAGCAGGGCCCCGCTGACTCCTGGGGGGGGCTGGGGCTGTCTGCGCTTCGGTCCCTTAATTGGAACAGGGCGGGGGAATGGGAGGAGCGGTGACAGCTGGGACACGCGGGTGCGTCCGGGCTGAGAGCTCTGTCACAGAGAGCCCGACCGGGGCTGCTGAGAGCTGGGGGCGGGAGGAAAGCCCCAGTCCCGCTCCCTTCTCCTCTCGGTTCCCCCCTCCGCAGATGTCAACCGCACTGCAGCACCCCACGAACTGCCCGCAGATCCGCTCCGGCCTCCTCCCGTGGCTGCTGTTTAGAATGCGCAGTTGAAGCTGTGCTGCTTTGATCCGACAACAGGAAAAGAATCTATATATAGCAAACGACCAAAATGTCCAAAGGGCAGAACGAACCAAGGAAGTTGCAAAGATGCTCATTGCTTAGACCTAGGGGAAGCGTGTCCTGTGGAAGTCACAATGTCACCTTTTGTGGGACCGGCCCCACGTGCTTGGTGTGCTGTTCCATGCCTGAGCTGGGCTGTAGTAAAGGAGGTGCATGGAGGGCTGCTGGGGATGTGCAAGGAATCATCCCTCCAAGCATTCTTCCCAAGCTCTTTGTGGGTCCTTCCCTTGGAGTGGTTTCACTATAGTAAATGTCTGTTGTCTGACAAGAGGACGCTCAGGACTCCGTGTACTGAGATGCGCTTCCTCTCTCCTTTTCTTCTCTTCCCCACTGTCAGCTATTAATAGGGCCGTAGCTTATAAGGTTTGGAGCTGTCCTGATTTTCCTTCGTCCCAGGCTCATTTTGAGGGATGTCTATTTTAATATCTGGTTCAGGTGCTGCGCACTGTGTGTATGTTACAGAAATGATAAAGTGAAAAAAAAAAAAACACATGGAAGTTTGGGCCAAACCATGCAACACTTCAACTTGCTTATGACTGCACGATTGGCCCCAGATAGTCTCTTGAATAATGCTGTTAAGAGGCTTCTGACTGTTTTAAATGAGCAAATGTCTATTCTGATCCCAAATATGTGGATGGTCTTTGCCAAGTGCCTTAAATTCTCCTGGTACTCTTGCAGTGAGACGTGACAGTGCTTTTTGTTCCTTTGACACACTAAGCAGCATGTGCCCAAATGTTTGCAATGGGGACAGCAATTAAAGTCTACGTTCGTATCGATGTGAAAGATGCCAGACTCACTGACTTACAGCATGGGATAATGCTTCACATAACATCTAACTTCAGTTCAAGTTGCTTGGTAATACATATCGAGTAATGTGATCGTTTGGTAAAAGCTTTACGGAAAAAGCTTTAGTAAGAAGTCTGGCTGTATTGCACTGCCCGAGAGAGTGGGGATGTTTGGATTGTTTCAATGGATCGATTGTATCTGTGATACTGTGCACACCAGATAAACAGCCACTTTTTTACGGCATCAAAAAATTCTGTAATTACTAAATATTTCCTCCCAGTGTTTTAAGATTTGTGCATATGTAGAGAATAATTTAAGATGAACCCTTAAAGCAGGGTTATCAAAACAATAGACTGTGGCGTTTGTAGTGCTGAATAATATATAAGGCAATGATCAATAGTCCCTTGCAGGGAATACATTTCATCTTTACATTAGCTTGGCTGTAAATTCTCCCCGTTGGCTTCAGTTTGTGCTTTGTTAAATTTATGTGATTCATGCCTGCTATTGATTAGTGCACAACTATTTTGTGGGAGATGCCAAATTAATTGTTCCAAAAATCCATGAAAGTGCTTTTTTATTGGCCACGTGAGGCTCAACACATACTATGCTGTTATTTTATTGTTTCATGCAAATATATTTCCCGACGAGCTTTTAAAATAGTTATGTGGTGGGCTTAGACATGAGAATTCACAAACTCTATTGGAAATGCTGCACTGGCCTTTTGCTTTGTGGCTTGGAACGCAGTGTGGTGCGGCCGCGTGGTGCTTCTGAGTGGGGCTGGGTCACTCTGTGGTCTTCATGAACAGTCTGGAATAGGGAATGATCCCCATTGGTTCCATACAGTTCTGGCTGTGGGTGAGGTCTGGCTGGTAGCATGCTCACTGAGATGGAAAGGCTGCCAGAAACCAAGAGCTCAGACGCAGAGGAGTTGGTGCCTGAGTTCTCTCAGCACTGGGCACATGGATGCTGAACCTGGGAGATCTGCAGGAGGGAGAGCTTGTCTGCAGAATGCCCTGTCTGCGGGGCACAAATGTCTGTGTGAGCTCACTGCTGCCTGTACAAGAGGATGTAACCATTCATACACTATCCCTTGGGTTTAGAGTATTTCGATTTTCAAGTCTGAGATGAGTAAAAAAATACCATACCAGTGAGAATACCTAATATCTAGAGGAATAGTGTGAGCCTCTGGACTGTGCTACAGATCTCATTTCTCAAGCCTCTGAAGATGACACTGTGAGTAAACCTTTCCACGTATTCCTGATTCATTGATGCCTGGAAGTAGAGTTCTGGCTCCATGTGTAAAGTTATTTTCATCTCACAATGCTGACTCAAATGTTGTTTTGTTTTTTTCTTTTTCTTTTTTTCTTTAAAATTTACTTGGCAAGACAGATTTCATAGGTGCTTTAATAATGGTAATTCTGTCTGTCCCAAAACTCAGTTTTTTTTCATTGAATGCTTTATGTGTTGAGCAAATCACAGTGCTGACAAGTCTACAGTAGGGCTGAGCTTTAGTTTTATGTTCAGAAATGACAAGAATGCGTGAGGATAATCGTTTAATTTGACACATTAATACTGTCTGCAATGCATCCTTTGAGCAGAAATTAAAGGACTTCACCATTCGAGCATCATATTTTAAGGTGCATTCATTTCTTCCTCATCTTTGTCCAACCAACTCTGAAAAGGGAAAGCAGGCCCTTGGCACCAGCTGATTGTCACTGAGGGATCAGTCACATCCGGGAAAAAACCTTCCATTGTGTACAACGTATACATTGTGTGCTTTTTCCTGTATGTTCTAGGTATACTGGAGTTCATCAGTATAGCAGTGGGCCTGGTCAGCATCCGAGGAGTAGACAGCGGACTCTACCTTGGAATGAATGAGAAAGGGGAACTCTACGGCTCGGTAAGTCCCCAGCTGTCCTAGGTGGTTCTAATCCTTCTGTTCTGTGGTAAGAATACCTGGTAGCTCCTGCAAGGCATTGTTGCTGTGTGAGCACTGCTTCTGCTTGAGAAATCTTAATGTCTAATAAGAAACAAGTGTCATGGAAGGGAGAGAAAATGGTGACAAAAATGAGAAGGAGGGGTAACGTGGGCTGATGGCAATATGGATATGAAGAGTGGAGACTGCTGGCCACTGAAGACTGAAGGATGTACTGCAGGGTTTGCAAAAGTGTCCTTTCTGTAGAGAATGAAATGAGACAAAGTCACTGTGTTTTGTGTGTGGGCAGAGAACTTGCTAGGAATTGACAAAAGCGAGTCGAGGGGGAGGTAAAGGGTGGCATATGTGGATGAGAAAATGAGGAGTAGATTAAAGTTATAAATCATAAAAGAAGGCAAAAGACTGGGTGGTCGTGACCTGAAAGTTCAGCTGATGCTTCCTGTGGGCTCTCAGCAGGAGCTGGCGATAGGCTTGGGGCACGAGTAAGGCCTTGTGCTTCTGCTGTGGGAGTAGAAGCTAGCCACCCAGCTGTGTGTGTGTGTGCTGTATGTCCCTTCCTTTGGACATCTGCTGTGCACTGGTGTTCCCAGTGGGGTACACTGTGGGCAGTGGGTGTCTGACATGGAGTAGGTAACTTGTCAGTCAATAGAAGGCAACCAGTTCTAGCAGGCAAGTGCCAGCTTCCAGCAATGACAAGAATTAGAGAAACTGTTGTATTGGAGGAAGAGGTCTGGAGGGAAAGCAAATGTTGGAAGTGAAGGGAAGCTCTGTGCACTGAGGCTCTTCAGAGGCACAGAGGGGAAAATACCAGTGGTCAACCAGAGGCAGGGCATGAACATTGCAGGGAAAGACATTCAGTAAAGAGCTGAATTGACAATATGGTCTTGGGTGTGATTGAAGTCCCTTGTATCACAGGGGAGTAACTGGGAAATAACTGGAAATGGTGACTGGGAAAAGTGGGACAACTGTGAGAGTGGGAGGGATGTGAGAAGATGATGATGGGCAGATGAGAGCAGGAGTGAGAGTCCAGCTTCCCAATGCATGATCTATAGAGTAGTGAGAGGAAACAAAACTAGAAATGTTGTCACAAGGTGTCCAGTTTGACTGATCTCTTTCTTGTATAACTGTGTCCAAGGGATGGAAGGTGACTATCTTAGAGTCACAGAATCAACGTTAGAATCAATCACGGATCCGGATCAATCACCGAATCATAGAATTATTTGAGAGGAAAGGAACTTTAAAGGTCATGTATCCCAACTCCCCTGCAATGAACAGGTGCACCTTCAGCTCAGTCAGGTTGTCCAGAGCCTGTCCAGCCTTAGCTAGAGTGTCTCCAGGGATGGGGCATCTGCAGTCCATCTTCTGAGCAAAGAATAAGTTAGAGGAAGAAGCCAAAAGGTGCACAGTGTGAAAGTGTATGTGGGAGGCAGAAGAAGAGGTGGCAAATGAGGGGCAAGACTGGGATGAAGAATGTGTGGAGAAGGAGGAAAAGGGGAGATACAGAGATGACAGGAACCAGTGAGTGGGAATAGCAAAAAGAAAGGGATTTAGAATAAATGGCAGTATGAAGGAGGAGGAGGAGGAAAAGGTTGCAAGGATGGAGGAGAAGAGAGAAAAGGAATAGATGCAATGACAGATGCACACAAATTGCCTGTGAAAAGTGAATAAGTTTTCATAAATCAGAGTAATTGTGCAGCTGAACTATGGCTTAAAGAAGTAGCCAAGTCAGGAGTACTTCTATGGCAGTACAGAGGCAGAAAAGCAATAGTGCTGTGAATCAGTAAGGTTGAAAATCATCAGTAGGAGGAATCATTTAAATGATACACATAGTCAGTGAAACAGTAAAGTTATTCTATGTTTTAGATATTCAGAAAAAGAATTGTGGATGTGGCTGGCATTGGTAGAGCTTAAATGCATAGACTTGGAAAGCCAATGTTACATTGTTTTCTGTGTAATTTGTATTTTATAAGAGCAATTTTTTTTTTTTTTTTTTTTTGCTAATATGCATAAGAAATTCTTTGTAAATTACTACTGTACTGATGAAATAGTTGTTCCATGAAGAGCAGTGCTCACAAAACCCCGCTTTCCTAAGGATTTCTGTCTCATTTCCAAGCGTGGATCTCCTTACCTTCTCTCCCTGCATTAACACAATTTCCCCAGCTTTTGTGTGCCTTGCGCATAGAGAGGTGGTGTTAGATGTCCATGCTTGCTGGACTGTTGGTTTGCATGGAGATCCCAGGTGGGATGTTCAAATGATTTCTTTACTTTACTCTGCCTCTGATTAGTTGCAAAACTGATAGGGACTTAATTTTCTTGAAGACCTTTGCTCTTGATTGAAACTGGTTAAAAAGCTGAGGAGGGCTGGCAGGCAGGCAGGCAGACGGATGGACAGTGTAATTGGATAACCTCTTTTCCCTAATAAATGAGGCTAAAAATATGAAGCCATTCATAATGGAGAAGTGGCAATCTATAGGGCCAGAATGCAAAGTTCAGGTTAAAATCTGATGGATGATATGGCTTATTGTCAGCCTCCAGAGATGGCACATGCTGAAGAGTGATGGTAATTGAATTACATTACTTCCATTGAAATATAACCTCTAATGGCTACTCAGTGTGATGATGCTTTAAAGCCTTGTCAACACTAGCAATCCTAGTGCCTATATTTCAGCAACTGTCAGCTCTGGTAGAAACTCTGAGATAAGCAGTCCTCAGAGCATGTTTTCATGTAGAAATGGCCAAGCATTTTTAAGTGACAGCATTTTGCTTTTGGTTTTGGTGAAAAAAAAGGATGATAAATTGAAAGTGAAGTTCTCTGGTGGGAATAAATGCCACAGTTTGAACCAGAAACAAGTTACAATCCAGGCAAGGATAGAGGAGATCTGTTTAACTGAAATTAGTGTCTGCTGGATGACAGGCTGGGGTTTAAAGTTATCACTTGGATGAAGCAGGGAAGCTGTACTGTGCTGCAGCACCAGTAAGGTCTCCATACTGCTGGGAGCTGGTTGTCTTTGTCAAGAGTCTGACAAAAGGTAATGAACAACAGCATCAGCTTTGTCAAGGAGCAGGTATGGTTGTGAAACTGTGAACATGCTTTGTAAGTTGGGAAAATTGCTTCCCACTCATAACTGAGCAGCAGCCTGTCCTGCTCTACATCAGTGTTGAAGATCTATCCAGGTGTGTTTCTGCCACACTTGGTGCTGCTGGAGGAGTTGCCCCATGTCTGTGGCAGCATCAGATTCATATTCAGATTTCTGTATGAAAAGATTATGAGATGCAATCAAATCAGCTCCCTGAAAGACACATGTCCTTCTACATATGTGTGTGAAACATTTGGCACAGGAGGATTTTTCCCAGTGTATTTGTGGTGCCGCCGGGGATGGGACATATGGTGAGGCAGATCAGCCAGGATGGGAAATTGCTGCCAGTTTTCTTGAAAGGCAGTTTTAGCATATCTTGATCCAGACGTGCTCCTCTTGGCCTTCTGAAAGTACTGCTTTCCTCCTAAATCTAAATTAGCTGCTCAACAAACGCACTTCCCAACTTGTCACCTTCACAAGGGGTAGTTCACATCTTCTGGTTCAAAAAGCTCAGTGACTGTCATGCTGTTCTTTGGACTGCATATCACAGGGTGGCTGTTCCCATGTTCCTTCTCACCCCGTGGATTTAGCTAGGCAAAGCTTCAGGTAGTATATGTGTGTGGCTCAGCAACGAAGCCAGAGGTGGCTGCGTAGCGCAGACTTGGAGCTAAGTGGTGACAGCAGCCTTCCTTGCTCTGTCTGGCTCTTTTCCTGCTCTCCTTTTACCTTGCCTTCCCCTTGCAGCCTGCAGCTATGACTCATCATTTCACAGCAGCTCCCGTGCTTGTCACTGGGGAGGAGGAAAAATCAAAACTCCAGATAGGATCCAAAGGGTGTTAAGATGAGACGTGAACTCCTTTTCCCTCCTGGAGTGCCAGCTGAGACTTTCTAACACCTCTGGCAAGAGTGTCAACAGGTGTTTTGTAGCTGTGCTCCTTGGTGCTATGCAGTGAAGATCTTCATGCTGAGTCCCATGACCCTCATGCCTTTGTGGGCTGTCCCCAAGCTCACACTTCCCCACACCTCTGCCTTGTGATTACCCACAGTTGACACTCACATGACACACGGGGTTCCCATCCTGGACTGTCCCCTCAGGCAGTACTTGTGCTTCCTTGAACATGACAAGAGCATGGGACATAGAATTATAGCAGCAATAAGGCTGGAAAAGATGTCCATGAAAATCGCCTAGTCCAACCGTCAGCCCATCCCCACCATGCCCATTAACCATGTCCCTCACTGCCACATCTCTGTGTTTCTTGAGCACCTCCAGGGATGGTTACTCCACCACCTCCCTGGGAAGCCCATTCCAATGCCCCACCACTCCTTCTCAGTAGAAACTTGTCCTAATATGCAACCTGAATCCTCCCTGGTACAACCCGAGGCCATTCCCTCTTGTCCTATCACTGTTATGTGGGAGAAAAAGCCAACCTCCACATAGCCACAAACTCCTTTCAGGCAGTTGTAGAGAGCGATAAGGTCTCCCTGAAGCCTCCTGCAGACTGAACAACCCCAGTTCCCTCAGCTATTTCCCATCAGATTTGAGTTCCAGACCCTTCACCAGTTTTGTTGTCCTTCTTTTGACACCATCAGCCTAGATGCTCTGTGTCCTGGGCTCTCTTTCCACAGAAAGCCGTGCTCCATCTCTCTGCTGGTGTCCCTGCCCTATTTGTTTCCCAGTCATAGAGCTGCCCCACTCCTCCTCAAACACTGGTGTCCCCATTACCCCTTGTTTCATTGGCATGTGGCAAGAGGCAGCGCAGCTTGGATGGTTGGGAGGAAGAATGATAATGGGAAGATGTGGAGCAGCTACAAAGGCTGCTATGCTGGGAAGAAGAGGAAAGCAGAAGGAAGCCAGTGGGCTTGCTGGGGTAGGGAAGAGGATTGGGA